AATTGGTTGTGTGTGGGGGTGTGTGGACAACAATCCATCACATATCTGACACCATTAGGAATTATAGTAGGTATTTTGTTTCTAGTGGGAGCTCACTGTGGTTAAGTATCCAGGTAGAAGAGAAGGAATTCAGGAAAACTTCCTATTTGTTTGTTTGTTTGTTTTGGTTGTATGAGGTTTGGGAATGAACTCTATCTGACACTGACCCCTAAATGATCAAAAATGGGGAACATCGTAACAGGATTGGCAAAGATGATGACTCTGACTTCGGGGAGCCAGGAATCAGTTACCAAGAAGCATGAGATCAAGTCCTCTCCTTGCGGCCATTAAAAATAAAATTTGCAGTCATTTGTTTTGAATAATTTGAGAAAGTGCATCTAGACCTTATGGCTTTTTAAATCTTTTTGAGATGACATAGTTTGCCTGTAGGTCTGTCTACATTATTTATTTGTGTGTTTGGTTTCATCTTCCAAGATTTTAGGTTATAAATAAAGCCATTCAAAGGTTAAAAATGATTGGAAAATAACTCTGTTAAATACGGGCTCACACTTTTTCTTAATCGTTTTGACCATGCGGGACCAGCATCTGTGAAAGCATTTCATTCTCACGCATTGGCTTTGTTTCTAGAAATTACTTAATCCTCCCGGCTGAGAATAGACGTAACTTGTTTGGCTCACAGAGTTATGAATCTTTTTCCCCCGAGTCCGTCACTTTTCTGGCAGAGTAGAAGTAGTGCGGGTCTGTACTGTTTCCCACCTTCCACTGCCCACAGGCTCTACCCCCTGCAGCATCTCACTCTCGTGCTTTTGGGAGCTGGGTCTGTGGGGAGCATTAGGCGTGACCTCTCTTCATTGTGTCCTGTGCTTATGTACAGTAATGTTGAATGGGGAGGGTGGATTCTCTCTCTGTATTAGGGCAGGCTCGGGGTTGGTTGGTTTGTTTACTTGTTTTTGTTTTGTTGTGTTTGCCTGGTACCAGGCCTGGACACGCCACTGGCCCTGAGAGATCTGTTAGTGCGGGGAGAGGCCAAAGGTTCCTTAGATCAGAACACTTCAGAATATTCATGGTGCTGAGGGGTCCTTTTAAATGCTTTGGGGGATCCTGATATGTAAACGACAAGGTTCCTGTCATCAGGAACAAGTTCCAGAGGTGGAGAGGAGAATGAGGGACCAGCTCTGGAGGTGGAGAGGAGA